AGAGACAAGTACAATGAGGGTTGGTTGCATCATTTTCTTAAAATGAAATCTTCTTTTTGGTCCTTTCTTCTGAAGGTTAATCACCCGTTTTGCTCTTCCTTGTTTATGACAGTGCTCATTATTCTCACTGTTGGATAATAATTATAAACTCCGCAAAAACCAGATCTTTTTGTTGGTGATAGTCCATCGTACTTTTCGACATTTTTCATTAAACTGCGAGGTCGCTCAGGCAATCGGCTTTTTTGCTGTATAACATATTCTTACCGAACATAACATGAGTCTCATCAAAGCGCTTAGACGCTGAAAATTGACTCTAATTTTTACTCGACTCAGTTTAGAAGTTTTCCTCAATGTTAAAAGGCTTTTTGTGTAAACAGGCTCGAGTAGCTTTGGAGCGCAGACTGTCGCCTTTTTGTGACGGTTCTGCCCTTCAAAGGTACTCAGCTACCCAGTGACTACTCGGCTTTCATTGATCGCTTCCATTTAGGTAAAATCACGTCTACATGTAATTGGGAGCATGCTGTTAAGCACATACAAAGCGATCCCCGTTTCCGCATCCTTACCAAGGTTAGTTCCAACATCTTTTCAGTCAAACTATGTCAACGAGTTTATGTTTTAAGGTGTCAGAAAAGAAGCAGCTGTTCAACGCATGGAAGGTCCAGCGTCAGAAGGAGGAGAGGGTAAGCAGTAATATGTCGCCTTTGCATTTTGCATTATGTGCCCATTTTTCAAGGACGAAAAACGTCTTGCAATAAAGAAAGCAAAGGAGAATCTGGAAAAATGGCTGCAAGACCATCCAAAGATGAAGCCTGGCTTGAAATACATGAGAGCACGAGAGATATTCAGTAAGGAGGCGGTTTGGCAAGCAGTGCATGAAGATGATAGACAGGATATCTTCCGCGAAGCTTTGGTAACTTTCTTTTGCTTCTATAGTCAGCTAATACCTAGTCTCTCTTTTGTAGGCTTACGTCACCAAAAGGGATGCTGACATGAATAGAGAAACTAGAAAACGCAATATCAAAGCACTGGCGGAAATACTGGAAAGCATGGATCAGATCACCTACAAAACCACTTGGGCACAAGCTCAGCGGCTGCTCATAGAAAACCCTCAGTTTGCCGATGATACTACCCTACAGAGTGAGTTCATAATTTAGTATAGTAAGCACTCCTTGAGTCCTCCTTTTTCAGGCATGGATAAAGAGGACGCTCTTATTGTTTTTGAGGAACATATCAGACAAGCTGAAAAGGAGCATGCTGAGATCAAAGAAGCAGAGGTATGTGCTACCAGTGTAGGACCCAGATGTTTAAAAATTCTTTCTTCTATAATGGCTGCAAGTAATGTTTTCAGTTTATTGATACCTACCTGTACTTGGTTTCCAATTTTTTTAACGTTTAGTCATTCAGATTCAGCTTGATTTCAGTATTGTTATAATTACAAGGAAAAAAGAAATACCTATTTTTGACAAGAATTT